GAACTTATCATGAGCCACAGGACAACTCATACATGATTCCGCAGTGTGAAATGCAAATACATGAAAATTATTCTCCAGTCACAAAATGTTGTTCGGGAGCGTATCATCACCAAATAATTTTCTGTAGCTTTCTTGCAACATGAACTGACTTTGACCTAAGTTTAAGCTTTGTGGAAGCTGCTTCAGGAGAAACAGTGTAAAGAATGATGTACCATTACATCATTCTGAAAAGTGCAGACGGCACATTTGACATGCATGTGAAGGTGAGGGATTCGGCCTACCTCTATTAAAAATGAAAGACCTGGACTGTAACATTGCTTTACTGATACAAGAAGTATGGTATTCTTTAAAGAAGTCTTTGTACAGCAAAAAATATAGAGCACTGACAAAACTTCTTAGTGAATATTTTTTTTAAGGTGAAGTATTAGGCTTTTGGCTGTGACTTGTGGCAAAAAAAAGCATCTTATTTGCACGAGATTTTACTGTTTTTCATGGTTCTTTACCTTTCGAGCTTACTGCTTTGGCTTTTTTTTCTGGTGTTAATTGAAGGTCTAAGTTTTTATTAAACTAAAAATCATTTTCTGAAAAATCTGACAATGAACAAGGTGTAAGGTATTTCTTTATGTAGTGTTTCTATAAATGTTATAATTTCAAAAGAAATGTTACGATTTCTTTGGAAATCACAGCCTTGACCTTGATGATGGATGTATGGCCTTTGGACAACTTTTCCTTTGTCCCTTTAATGAGAACAAATCAGGCTGACAGACTATCTTCTACCAGCCACCTTTAATCTGTTTTCTGGTTGAAACAACTATTAGTTGTTGTGCAAAGAGAAGCAAGATAATTGAAAACATCTCTTACCTGTAGACAGCTATGGGTCTAATCAAATCAAACACTTATTGAAGGACTTTTCACTTTGGAGAGAGAGGAAAGGAGAAGGCAACAAAAACAACATTACCTCACAACATTTTTGTAAGTGCTTTAAAACATTTTGCTGATGTACAAAATATCTTGGTAGGAACAAAAGTATTTCCACTGAAGAAAGACAAAACTACAGAGTATATAAAAAAGTGTGTGTGGAAAAAATGGACTGTGAAAAGACCAAAGGAGTTGTCAGACCATCTCTCCCACCTCAGTGAATCTGCGTCTGTCACACTCTGAGACAGCTGTTCCTATGGGGAGAGCCAGCAGGCAGATAGAGCCCCTCTAAGCCTCTCGACACATTTTCTTCCTCCATCCATCAACCGTCACTCTCACTTGGATCTTTCTTCTAAGTCCATTCTGTTCCTCACTTCTAATACTCACCTTGAGCTATTGTTTTCTGCATCACTCATTCCTATTCCTAATATTATTAGATTAACTTTGAGAACAAAAAACAGTTTCTCTCATTAGGCTCATTTGGCAACTGGCCCTGTTTCAGCTGGATAAAAGAAAATATTAAAAAGAAAACGAAAATCAGCATGTTCTCAGCCTACAATTCAAAAAATGTATGTACTGAATACTGTAAGAACCTATATGATTTATGCAGCCTTCTACCTCTACCTGCAGCTGTGAAAGTCAAATCTAAAATCATATCATTATTCCTGAATAATAATGCTCATCTTTTGGACTTTCCTACAAATTCACAAATCTATATTCCATTCAAAATATTCTAGCATTGACAGCCAGGAAAGTTTATATAAAAAGATATAAACATACACAGACAGTGTATGCTCTTCATGAATTGCAAAAAATCTAAACAACAGAGACCCCTATTCCTACAGGACAAGTCTCCGTTTGACTCCGTGTTCTAAAGCCACTGCTAATGGAATATAATACAACTAATTTCTATGTTTGGTGAGGTATTTGAGTTTGTTCAATGGCAGAGACAAGCGGGATACAAGGTCAGATGATCACACGGGTGGGTCAATGTGGCTTACATGCATCATTGAACAAAGCCAAATCAAACTGAGTTTGGGCATTGAGCCATGTGAAGATGACCACTTGCATAAAATGGCAAATATTCACTTTAGTGAAAAACATCTTATCCAAAGGCATTGTCATTGCTTCAGCTGTGCATTATGTCTAACATCTATCAATATAGCTGTCTCATTAAAAAGTTCAATCAGGATCCTTCTGTTTTCTCTGTTACAGGAGATGGTTTATAACCATGATGGCCATACTCCAAAGGCTTCAAGTCTTACAGATGTAAATCTGAAAAAAATACCTTTCAGATATTACAGTACCCAAGAAAGTTTGGATACTATTACATCAGTACAGACTTCACCTCTATGCCATAGAGATTTAATTCAGTACTACATCTAAAAGAGGGTCCAACAAGGCAGACATAATAAAGTAGCCAGATAGATTAATTTTCAGCTTTTTAAATGATTAAAATTTATGTTGACCAATTCTGATGATTTTATGCATGGTGCAACATGAAAGTATTGTATTGTTTAAATGTGCTAAAAAAACAAAACAATGATGAAACCAGCTGCACTCCTCCTCTCTTCTCCTTTCCTCATCTCTGGCTCATACATGTCCCACATGACAAAAAGAGGATTATCCACAGTTCTCAGCTGATTATGAGGCAACACTGGTCAGGGTGATATTTGACCTCCCTCAGTCTGCACAAGGAAATCCTGTTTGTAATCCTGCCTTCGTTAACATGCTCCGGTCTACCTCCCGACCCACACGCACCACAGATAAAGCAGGAATCCTAAAAAAAAAAAAAAAAAAAAAAAAAAAACTACTACCACTGCTTGAAGAAATCAAGAGAAGCCATGTTAAGCACTGATGGATACCACCTAAAAGTATTTTGGTGGAAAAATCTACAACTGCATGTGGTTAACACTCCCTTTGGGACACTGCGCTAAAGTTCAGAAAGACACTGGGGAGTACAGTGAGAAGCAGTGTCAAGAAAAATGAAAGACATAGAATCAGAAAGATGTGTATCAGCACCAGGAATAAAAAAAAGAACGTGGAACAAAGAACAGGGAAAAAAAAATGAAGTGATGCACACAAGGCAGGCTGCGAACAGCACTCGCTTCTTATGTTGGTGGTGGTAGAAGCACTGAAAGAGGCAGAGCTAAACAGAAAAGAAGCAATCTGCTCCCAAAGACAAGTAGATGAGCAAGGGCAACATCCAACACAGGTGAAATGAGAATGCGATTTACATTTATTTGCTGTGCTGTCACAGTGAGTGTCATATATGCTGCATAAATCCCATATATTTTAGAAGGCAGACAGTTGGCCAAGGCACATTTAGGGGTTTATTAGAGAGGCAGGTAATAAGATGTGTATTTATGAGGAGTAGGAACATCGGTGACATCGGCATCACCTATTCATAAGCCTGATGATGGAATCGTTGTTATTCTCCCCTCCTGTCTTATGGGCGGACAAAGAAGAACTCTGAGGTGAGATAGGGGAGAATGGAAATGAAGACGAAAGTGCAGCCAGAAACCAGCAGAGGCTTGAAAATAATAGAGACAAAGTGAATAAAGGAACAAGGGGAAAATGAGTTTGTGAGCGGAATAAAAAAATAAGGACAAATAAGGAATGAGACAAAGAAACAGGTGACAGAATTAGAAGACAAAAACAAGATGGGAAGGGAGTTGAAACAAAATAGAGAGCAATTACCAGAAGAGCAAGAAGAGTATTTCAATAAACCTGTACAATGTCGATTCTGGTGAGAACATCCACTCTTTGGACCCTGTGTCATGAATACCAATGATTCAGACACACCGTAACTGGAATTCACAATGTATACAGACAGCAAAAGCAGCAGTATTAGATATTCCTCCTGAGCATTGACGGGAAGGAGGAGCAGAGAAACAACACATGGCCTTCCTTCCAAATGAAGGGCAGAGGGCAGAATTTGTGTATCACTCCTAGCATAGTTCCCTCTTTCTTTTCAAACATTTTTTGCACTGCAAGAAAAAGAGAAAAGACTGCAATAGATAAATGTTTGTTATTTGTCTTTTGCCAAGTTGATCTTATTTTGCTGCTTAGTATTTTTTCTTAAGCCGTTTAAAGGATTACAGAATTATAATGCTTCAAGAAGTGTTTAAACCTGTCCTGATTCTGGACAGGTTTACTTTTTCACCTGTGCAGCTTAATACACTAGGCAGGAAACTTCTTGTCTCCACGAGAATAACAGATGGCGTCCGACACCACCTGGGCATGACGTCAGAAAGACCAACGGAGAGCCGTGAAATGCCAAGATCCAAGAGTTGTGCTGGTAACGGTTTAACATGAGCAAGTCTTATGACATTTTTGAGTGAAAAGGTCATCCCAGGACCCATCACCATGTTGCTTAATCTTTATTTTTATTTATTTTTTTTTGTCTTAAGAAGACAAAGCAAAAGACAAAGGACAAAATCTACATTGAGGAGTTTCTTGTCATGAGCATTCTGAAAAAATATTGGAATAAAGCTAATAATGATCATACATTCAGCTTTCTGTGCTCAATGCAAACTCTGTTTACGCAAGAAAGCCTAAATGTTATGGTAGGTAGAAGAAAAATCAAATGCGACACATTTTTCTCTAGCACAGAAACATCACATCTCTAGGAGAAAATTGGAAATATCACACTTTAAAGTATACTTCTAAATTGACTGGTAGCAGTGCATTTTGCTTGTGGGAGAGTATCCAAGTATTTCCACTTTTATTAACACAGGAAATGGAAATAATGGGAAATTTAGGGTAGTTATGAACAAAATGCATGTTGTACTATTCTTGTGTCACTAATGGTAATGTGAGGCAGGAAAAACAACCGCATAGTGCTCAGGGTGGCAGGCAGAAAAGATTACCTTAAAACAATGACCTGTCCTGAATGCTCTTTAAAAAGAAACGGGTTGAAATTGAGTTAAACTATGAATACATGCTACTTTTCAAGTTCAATTTTGTACTTCTATATCAAGATACAAACAGTTCATTGGGAGGAATATTTAATGTCAATACTATTGTACATGTATTGGATCTGTTGCTTCATCTGCCTGTTTTGGAAAACATAAGGCTGATTTTTTGCTGTGGTTTGGACATTGACAGAACTCTGGCTTCAGACAAGCTGAATCCACACAGCTTGCCTGCTTCAGTCAGCATTGCCTCCAGAGTTCTTCCTGGTCACGCACCAACAGCTCCTGTCTGAGAGGAAATAAATAGGCTTAGCTCTTTGTCTTTATCCCAGTTATCCATACAAATGCACAAAAGCCTGATTGCACGAGGAGGAGAAAACACAGCAAGGGCAAATTAGAAGACTTGGCAGCGAGTTTCTGCCAAACCATGGCCTGAATGTTTTTGCTTGCATGGACACATTCCTCAGTAGTCCCACCCTATTATTATTAAATGTGTGTAAATGTGCAGTGTGTGGGGAATGCAAATGATGTTGAACTTCTTTAGAAGAGGCAGATCTTTGGCACAGTGACCCACTAAGCCTATTTAAAGTTCTGCTCTCACTCTGACATGTGACAAGTGCTATATTGAAAATGTATCATCAGACACATGGTCATGATTTAGAGAATAGCAACCGTCAACATTATTTTGGTTGTTCTTAACTGCAAGAAAAAGGTTGATGATAGTTTAAATTATGAAAGCCAGATTTTCTCTCAAATGAAGAGATTCATTTTACATGATTTTACATTGAAGGTGAAGTGGAGGGCTTCACTGCTTTCACTGACACCCATGGAAATAAAACCTGTGCATATAAACAATGTGGCAAGGGTTTTAATGAAGTCAGTGCTTTTAGTTTCTTACAGAACATTTATTGTCTTGCTGTTATATGTATGACTGCATTTCTATGGCTGCCAGCTATTAGGACATGTTGATGTCCTTTCTGACTATTCCCAAGGAAATAGTTTTAGACAGAAAGATAATGTTGCACATACATTTGTTATTTAACTTATCAAAGTAAGTATGCAGCTGCAGTCTTCCAAATTTAAAAAAACTCAAAAGTGAAAACATCTTCCACCTCTTGCACAGCTTACTAGCAGAGACCACACACTCTGATACAGCAATTACTTGTCTGTTCTCTGCTGTTTATTTGGCATTCAGTGACAAATGGTCACTTGGTACTGTAGCACTTTAACAAGCCTTTTGTGGGGGTGATGGCAGTTTGGAAGAAGCACATTTGTCACAACAGTTAAATTTTAACTCTCATCTGAGTTGTGATAAACACGTATGCACTGAGAAACATAAAAATGTTGTGCAGGATGGAACATCCCATGCAAACAAATCAGAAAAGTCCAAAAAGACGCTATAAGAAAAAACAAAAAAAGGTTGATTTGGTAACAATGAATCTACACGTTAAGAACAAATGTAACAAAGTAATATGATGCCATAAATATGAAACATAAATAAATAACAGTGGTCCTCTCCATTGTTTTACGAAGCAGATAATTCTAAGAATGAAAAATAAACATTTGTTAATAATGTCAGTCAAAAGCAGAAATTTCCTCCATCTGCTTAAAAACAAACCTTTTGTTTGAAACAAAAAGTGAAACATATGAATAATAATATGGCATCTAAATATGCATTGTCTGATGTAACGATGTAAATTTAACACAAACTATTTTCTTGATTAGAACAATTTTTAACCAATATACGTGGATGGGTGGCCACTTACTGGAGGTTCAGAACAATGGGAGAGTGAAGGCAAATTCTGAGTCAATTGAGGAAGTGTGTTTATCTGCACCTGCAGTGTAATTTCACATCACTGCTTTATCTTCCATTTCAACAATTAAAATGCTTTAAATTAGCATGAAGTCAAATTTAAGATTAAAAAAAGTAACTGCAGAGAGAAAACTAGATTTTACTATAGTTTTCTTGAAATAACATCTTTATGGTAACATTACAGAAGTGTAGTGAAACCACCATGAATACAAACACAAATATATTACATAGTGAGAAGTAGAACTATAAAATAACTGCATTGTTCACAAATGTAAAGTGTAATTTTGGCAGGAAGATGCCAGCATTATGCAGGACAGAGAAGACATGCTAGTTCAAAACAGAGCAAAAATTACATCTATTCTAATGATGACAAAAATCTTAATGATGCCATTTTTGTCAAAATCTTTTTCCATCCATCCACTTATCCTTGCAGGGTCACTGATGCCCATCTCCACTGGTCATCGAGCCTCTTGCTCTGAATTTTAAACATACTGGACTTGTGATGGAGGGCTTTTAAAATAATTTTCATGATGGCCGCTTTTTAAGTCTCAGAGGAACTACAGTCAGATAATAGTTGTTTTGATTTCCTGCTCATGACTTATATACTTATAAAGCAAATAAGTCTACAAGATGTGATAATACTGAATATTTTAGACCCTCATTTCCTGTCTTATAAGAATGAGCGAGCACATTAACAAAATCTGTGATGTGTGTGCAGGTGCACTACATGAACAATTATATTATTGTAATCAATTATCTCTGAACATTTGTTTCATTTTGCCACTGAGGGAAACACCTCACACAAATGGAAAGTAAGGATGGGTCCTCAATGCAAGGTGACAGCTTCAGTCTGAACATATGGAATCTACTTGTCTTTGAATTTAATGCTGTTAGTACAAACTGGCAGACTACACATGGCAATACAATTAGATTACCCACAAAGTAATTAAGACCCCAGTGTCACTGGTTCATCTTCCGATTACCTGTCCAGTGCGATTTCTCACTAGGAGAGGTATGGCTGGAGTTTGGCCACAGTTTTACCTCTTATCTCATCAGGCTAATCAATTCTGCATCAGTGAAGTATTGCTCTGTGTACACCAATTCAGACGACCTCTACTTCAGCTGTAATTTAACAGTTATTGATACATGAAAGTTTGGAATTAAGCGGTATTGAATGAAGTGAAGTTTTCAATTGGAGGCTTTTTAAATTGGAAGAGGAAATACTTTGAAATGGTCCATTAATACATAAAGATGTTAGAGAAAACTTAACTTCAGTTTGTTCTGAAGTTAAGTACAAAGTAATACATAGCTTGTATATAATTTTTTTGAGCGATATCAGTGTGGTCAAACTATAACTAACATGAATATATTGTTACTAACAAATTATACCCCAATTTTCCCTGGCTAATAAATCACAAATTTACTGGACTGTGATTACTTGACTTGGCCCCAAACTTTGAGGTAAGTCATGAGTATTTGTTTCTGAGACTTTAGTGTGATTTAAGTCTATTGACTATGACTCATCATGATCAAAATGTAGTGAATATGAATAAAAAACTCTACATCTGATGACAAAGCAGAAGCTCAACTTATAACTTTCTTAATGTATTTGACAAAATGAACAACTAAAAGAACTTTGACGCATATCTGACTGGACCAAGAAAGTGGAACTGCAAACGCTCACAGTTGTTACAAATCATCCACAGTTCCATCTTTCCAAAGTCTACAAATTTACAGTTAGCCAGATCCATTTCACACATATCTGACAAGAAATTGTGTGTTCTCACCACTTGTTATAAAACTGATTCAGAGTCTGGCAACAGCTTTTCATCATAGCAGCTTTGGCCAAGCAAGCAAGCTGTCTTTGAAGAGTGTTCCTGCTGACCAGGAGCTGGATTAGAGGATTAACTAATTACCAGTAAAAGAAAAGGGCAGCAAACAAAGATGGGTTTTAATCTGCAGATGAGCCAGCTCAGAAGCCACTAATCAACCTGTGGATCACGACTTTCAACACTTCAGGCGCTGATAAGGTCAAAGAGAGGCACAAAGGCCTGAATAAAGAAATTTCAGTTGAAACTTCTAAAATATTTAAAATTCTGTTTGATAAAAATGGGCGAGAAAGTCAATGTCTTACTTCAATTGAGAACAATAAAAAATTAACAGTCAAAAAAAGCAGGAAAATGTACACACACAATAGAGCCTATATATTTTACTATGTACATAAAGATAAGCATCTCCTGTTTTCACTCAGGATTAACAGCATTATTTCTACTTGCAAAATACCAGAGTAATGAGTAAAGGAATTTTTTTTTTCCGTCTTTTTGAAATCTGACAGACAATTTTCCCGATAAAACATTAATGGACATTAAACTGACTGGTCAAATCTTTACAGAAAACAAAAAATCAGCCACAGAATACATACAAAAGTCCTTTCACACATAGAAAGATCCGGTCGCTGTGTTTATATGAAAAACATTCCTAACTTTTAATTCATGCTAAAGTCATAACTTCAAATTTCTTTTTGTTTAAATCTGTCCGCCTATGAACTGGGGTTTCAAGTCGCCTATAAACTGTGGTATAAACTGTATGGAGAATGAAAAACTAAAACATACAGAATGTGGACAAGGTACATATTTTAAATGGAAAATGTATCTGAATTTATCTGTTCAATGTGAAACAGTGGTAAAATTTAATTAATGATGACTAACATTATGTGTATATGTATGCTGTTTTTTTTTACAATCAAAACAGCTTTTAGTTGTGTGTTTAATGTCTGAACTGTCTCTAATGCATTAAAGGAGTGCTTATCTAAGATGCTTTCCATGAGCTAAAAATACGCAACCAGCTGAAATCAGAAATGTCTTTTCAGCACAACTGTAAAGTTACTGACAATTCGATAAATCCTCCCTCAATCTGCACTAAAAGTGCCATGCAAATGCTTAAACCCACGGTGCTAATGGTTCACACTCCGTCTGTCAGATTAAAGCTCATTTACTCGCAGCAGGGTCTTCAATTACCAATGATTAAAACCCCTTTTGGTGTTCCGTTCAAGAAAACCAATCTGTCTCGATCTGTCTGGATTAGGAAGAGCCTCAGGAAAGATGAAAAGAAACTTGGAAGGAGCAGGACAGGTAACAGCATAACTTAATGACTATTTTATACAATCAACATCACAAACACAGTTCAATTCTGGTGTTTTGTTTAATTTTCAATGTGACCTATGTTGACTTTGTGACATAAAGGTATGAAAGGATAATTTTCTAATTCAAATCTGGATAATAGATATTTATATTTATGGATATTGGAAGATTACAGACCTATCCAGCTGTCAATCTAAATTCTTTTCCAATTTTTTTTGTAAAATAGCTGAAGCTTAGTCAGGTTGGATGAAGAGCCTCAATACATTTATTTTCAAATCTTTCCAAAAAGTCTTCTTTGGATTTCAACAGATCAGTACAGCTTTATCTGTACCATCCCATTGTATCTCTGTTTGCTTCGAGCATCCAGAGGGGTGTATTGGAACGGAGGTTTAATACAAATACTTTACACACTTTTTGTGTTTTACATTTAAAACATGCTGTAAACCATTTATTAGTTTCCAAAAATAAAATATTCAAGGACTGTAGTTGCTTTTGCAAGGTCAACTGTCAGAGAAGTCAGTGACAGTTCTGCACATTTTCATGTAGGACCTGCACTACGTGTAAGACTTTATATCTGCATAATTTGATCTGAACCTGCTAAGAACAAACAAACAAATACAGGTAGAGCAAAAGGTAAAACAGGACACAGTCACTCTGTCAGAGTATGGGACATTGTTTCGATTCAATTTGTCATACAGAGAAAAACTAGAGCTACTTTTCTGCACTGGAGCTTATCATTTCAGTCTGTTTCCATTTACCCCACATCTGTCCCAGTTAAGTAAAGGTCTACAGCGTATGCAACAAAATAATGTAACACCTTTTTCTGATAATCTCTGAATCTGTAATATTACAACACACAGGGAACATGAGGAAACAAGCTTATTAGCTTTACAGTATCTGACTGACAGATACATTTCGTTTGATATTACTTCAGTGTAAAAAAAAAAGTGTATATCTTTATTTGGGGTGTGTGAATGTTTTGTTTCGACTCTGTGTGTGGCACATGCAATTGTCAGTTTTATTTATTACTCACAAGTGTAAAAATAAAGCTTTACACACACATACACAAACAGCCGTAGCAACTGTTTGCTGTGTATACATGTATGGGTCTATAGGGGAGGATTTAGGTGGCTGTCCAGGGGAGCAGTGAAGAGAAAAATAGGGTTTGTGTCCCACACACACAAACACAGTTTATATTTTTCACACAACTCTACCATCCCAATTCTTTCAGAAATAGGCCTCCTAAGGTTGGCTGCTTGAGTTAAGCTCCTTTTAGTCTTTGCTTGGTCCCGCAGACTATGAGGGACCTGTAAGGAACCCAGAGCACTCCCTGCAGCTCTGGAGTAAAGATTTAATTCAGCAGGCAGTAGAGGTGTTCACTTCCTAATATTGTCAGGTAAATCATCTGTGATTTGACTTGTGAAGAAGATATTTTCTCCCCTAAAATGAAGACAAATGAAGTGATATATGGAGGAAAAATCTGCATCATAAATCAATGTTAAATAGTGTTTGCTATTTGTCCATGGCAGTGTCAGTGTGCCAGGAGTCACACACTCAGCCCAACCCCTCTTGTGGCCCGTGATGTTTTTCTAATTACTCTGAAATATGATGGAGGGTGTCTCTATTCGAGTGTGTCGCACACTGTGGCACCACCGGCTGCCGAGACATACATCACTCTAATTGGCTCAAATGACTCTAATATATGCCACCATGTTGCCTTCATGGATCAACAGCGTCGCCTTCTGAAAATCAATGCAGGAATTGCATGCTGGGACAGAAGAACGCTGCTTTCAATAAGCAACCCAATGACTTTGGCATTTCAGGCATCACCTTTTCACTATCCACCCATGTTTAGAGAGGCAATTAGCCATAATTGAAAAGACATAGGAAATAGAAAGTGGTAAAATATGTCAGGAAGCGTCAGATTTGGTGCAGTGAGTGTGAGAATGTGAGGGCTAGTGGGTAGGTTAACATCCTTGCAACTATGACAAATCTTGACATTTAAAAGTAGCCTTTAAATATGTGAAATAAAAGGGTAGGAGGTTAAAACTGTTGATTTAGGTTTGCAGCAAAGCCAAGAAACAATCTGAGGAACAACTTCTCAAACTCCTTGTTAAATATGGTAGAGGATCCATGATCCTCTACAAGTTGAGAATAAACATAGCTTTTTGTTCATTCTTAAAAAGCTACAAGTATCATATCTGCAATACACTGGGATTTCAAAATAAAAATCTGTTTGACTTTTCAAACACAAACATGCCAGCAGTTGGTCTTTCAGTAGGAAAGAATATTGAAAAACTGTTGAAATTGTTCAAAGAGGCTGCCTATGTGGGGGATGGTTTTTCAAAATAGCACTGTATGGCACCAACCATAGGGTTAAAGTCTAAACAGAGGGGTCTGCAGAGATGTTACATGCCCTTTTCCTGACCCTAAAGCTGTACAAGTTTGAGATGGAGGGAAGGTCAGCCCCAATGATCCTAACCACAAACCTAAATGTTCATTGCACCCTAAACCTGTCCAGATTTGTGGATGACCCAAACCACACACTGATACTCAATCCACCGTCACCTCCACAGTCTTAAGACTGACCTGGTCAATTACAACAATAGACGCAGCTCCAGTAATACTTTTTAAACTTGGAATCGATGGAAGGGGAATGCTTTGATATGCACACAGTGAATTTCCAGAAGAATGTTATAGATAGAGCACCACAGTTTGAGCTTTATCCTTCCTTGAACTGATGTACTCTCTATCTATATTGTCTATCTGAGATTAAAAGACAGAAGGAGAAAACAAATTATATTGCTCAACAAGAGACATAGATCACTGACACCTTGGTGGAAGTGGAAAATAGTCTTGTTGTGAGGAGTTTTGTGATTTTATTTTTCCTCCCTTCATCTTATCCATCACTATCCTCTTTTCTCGTCCATGACAAAGCAGTTGAGGTAAAAACTTCAACATGGGCTGCAGGACTTCATTTAGGTCCATAAAATTGTCTGAGGAATGATGAAAATGGTCTTAGTGGTGATGTATCGCTGTTGTGCTCAAAACCTCTACAACACCAGGATTCTGACCGTGGCTAAAAAATAAACCCTGGGCCTGAGTTTTTGCTACGTTATCACACCAGTGCAGCTGTTGGTGCTCAAAGAGGCTCAGCAGCCTTCCTCTCACAGAAAGCGCATGGAAATGTTCCACTGAGAAAGATAGGGTTCATGGGGGAGATGAGGTGAGGCTGAAAGGGTGAGCAAAGGGGGTGATAGTGTGGAGAAAAAACATAAAAGAAAAAATTCTTCCAATTTGTCAACAATTTTTTGACAGATGCAATTTTTTAACTCCAAAATATGATGGATAGTGTCTCTATTCAAGTTTTTTTAATGCTTTGAACTTTAAAAGTGGTTCAAACAGAAATTAGAGACAAAACATGAGATATTTATACATTTTACTGATATATAAATTTCCCCTCTTTCAAACAAATGTTTAAAATTCACCTCACATTTCCTAATGTCCCAGAATAAGCCACAGTCTATTGAATTAAACACAAGATCTGAATTTATAACTTATAATATTATCAATACAGTGAGACATTCTTTCCTGAGCCCATTTCCGAAAGGATGTAATTTGGCTTCCCCATTCATTTTTTCCATTCTTAATTATCTTCTGTCTGATCACCAACCCCATGAAAGAGCATTATTAATTAAACAGACTATAATATGCTTATTTTCACACAATTAACACAAGAATAAAGCAAAATAATGTTTTTCAGATGAAATCACATAACATATTTGTTATTACTGACAGGCAAAAAAAGAGAAATAATTAAACATTTGAAAAAAATTTAGACATCAAAAGAACCAACACACAACTTGTGAGATAAAGATTGATCTGTCAGTTTTGTATCATTGAATGTGATGGCTTGCATGTCGGATGTCTCTCTAGGGATCAACACAGTTGTGAATCAGGCAGTGACAAAAAAAATCCTTAAAAGAGAATCAACTTTTCATTGAAATATTGATGTATTCTGTTGTGCCTGAATTGAAGACTCAGGCACTTTTCATATTTATGGATTCATAGGTCTAAAGGTAAGTAGAACATTACTATATGTGGGATGTGTACTTTTAATAATTCTGCTTTATTCTAAACCATTTATTAAAAATAATATTAGGACACAAAACTTTCACATACTGTCCCCATTACCTCTTAGTTGTCTTATCACGGTGAGACCTTGTAAGCGCATATAAAATGAAACAATGCCCTTTGTTGGTTCTTTCATGCTGTCAGCAAATTTCTATTGCTTATGTCTGCAGCTGCTTGTGTCATCCTGTTAATGGAGGGCTTTGTTTAAAAGTAAGTAATTGCAAAGTCACTTTTTTTGGGTTATGATTGACATATGCAGCATTTTAATAACAACTGAAGGTAACATACTTGTAAATGTAACTATGTGTCTGGAATATTAATACATTATACATAATTTAATGTAGTCAATTTGTTTGATACTGTGCATGTCAAAATAATTTCCCTCTCTATTTAAACAGGTTTTGACCAGAATTACATGCATTAGTTGGGTGTTACTTTTTTTTATATTGAATGAGTCCACTAATCATTTAAGCAAAATTTAAGTCAAATTATAGATAATGTCTCACTGCGTCAATCTTTTACTCAAACATATTAACACATTTTTACAGCATGACAGAAAATCTCTTAAAACCAACCCATGTGATAAACCTCAGGATTAGTGTGGATTAACCTCTGAGGATGTTGTACTGGATGGCAATGGTGCACTACAGGCTAACAACTGCCCAGACCTTTATTTACTCAATTTCGCATAATGCACTTTGATTTCATTTAAGTCGGCTAAACTGGGTTCACACCCAACTGATCAGCTTAATGCATGACCCCATGTGGAGATTTTTGTCTCTTTATGCCTTTCTCAATCCCCTGTCATTTAGTCTTCTTTATGCTCCTCATTAGCCTGATATCCTAGGTGGACGGCAACAACAGCCACCGGTTTGAAGTGGTTAAACTGGCAATCTGTCAAATTGAGGCTTTAAAGGAAAACTACTCCTTCCCTTTCCTTTTGTCATACACACCTGGATTGACATGACTGCCTGTTTTAGTGTCTTATCAGCACTCCTTGATGTCTATATTCTGCACAAAAGAGGAGACAGAGGATCCATTAAGTCATGCATGAACTGAAACAATCTATAAGAGAGTGAGAATAACATGGACTCATGGAGAAGAAAGGGACATAGGCCACTAATTTATTGCTGTGCATGCAGTAAATTATTTTCATCCCCAGGATGTTTTCTACAGATTTTATGTAGCACTTCACCAACTTTAACTTCAAAGAATTGTATTTTTACTTTTTTTTTCTTTTAGAAACATTTTGTTTTTTTTACCATCAGGTCAAGTTTTCTTGTAGACTTGATTTTGACTTTCAACTTATTGTTTTAACAGAATAATAATATTTTATCTCTTACACAAAAAAACTAACGACAAAACTAAAAAAGGTGCAATGCTCCTTTGATGCTGGCTCTCTTTACCAAGCTTCACACAAAGGCAGTCATTAGTTACTCACCAAATGTTACAGTGATGTGGTTTCTCAGAATTTTGCAATAACCCATAAAAATGTCAGTTTTAACAATAAAGAATTTAGTAGTCCTTAAGCTAGTTTCTCGGCTAGCTCAACACACATCTACAAAGTCTGCTAGCATTAGCACTTATTACCCTCCAGAAGTATGTCCCATTTTCTACACAATACTGATATGAAACTGCATAAAGTGACTCATTAGTGGACTCTCAATTCAATAACATATTCAACTTTTAAAGGATACCAATATATATGCATCAAAATACATCTTTACTGACCTGTGATATAGAGAAGATCAGGCATATGGGCTTATTCTTCTTCTGTGTGCTCAACTTTCTCTATTCTACCTATGCGAGAGGCGCCCCTGATGGTTGTATGTGGAATCGCACTGACTAACTGAAATAACACTAGGTCGTTTGATTTACTTACAACTCTACACATGAAAGAATTAAATCAAATCCTCTAGAGGTCTGTTTTTGACAAAGCAACAGTACATGATTTAAATAAAAATTTTTAAAAAAGTTTATTTTACATAATAATGTCCCACATCATGACATCTAGATGCTATGACACCTTCGATGGACATTAACTGGGCAATTAGAAATGTTTTGTTTTCAAAAAAATTTTTTAAATCTTCTTTTACATAATTTGTGTGCTTGTACATTAGCATAGCTGCAAATAATGCTAGACAACAACAACAAAAAAAAAACCCAATCAAAATCATATATTTCAGAAAAATTAACCATAGAGCTCCATTTGGGCAAGAAGGGGACATATTTAGGCGCTGTTAGAATAACACAATAAATTCAATGTTTGACGAAGAAGCTTGCAGAAACTGCACTATGATTAGCATCACCGTTCTGACACAGAGCTCATGCTAATCGGAGCAATTAGGTAACAGCACAGGTCTTAATTTATGCAGCTGGGACCAGCTCCCATTTCTAAATGCAGTAGAATGACAGCGATTGTCAATTAGCTACGTAGTAACGGGGACATTTGATGCCACATTCGATGCCACAGATGGAGACAAAATCATCACCATCCCTCCTGCTAATTCTAAGCCTGATTTGCATGATCCATTTAGAAAGTATTTATGAGAATGGAAAATGGCTGTCGCCACTGATGAAGCAGGTTGAATTGATTGTCAGAGGTGAATGTGCTTATTTTTTGTGACTTGTTTATACCTGCAGTAATTTGTGCAAATAGATTCACTATGTGAATCACTAATTATTTAAATAATAAAGCAAAACAAGTAAAAGTGAATAGAAATTATACTGTTTTTGTAATGGTGAGAGTGTGGTTCTTGAGTGCCATACTGATTTGAGGCTGACAATAACAGCTAATTAGGATTTCTAATTAAGCAGTCAGCAGTTTTGACAAATGAGGAGCTATGTAATAATCACCAGAAAGTAGGGCAACCTGGGCAATTTTACTTTAAAACCGCCTTTGCTGTAAGCTATCATTGGGCCATACAAAGTTCAGCATAAGGTTAAAGTATACTGAGGATATATAAGGCCAACATGTCTTAAATATGTGTTAGCATCTATATATATATATATATATATATATATATATATATATATATATATATATATATATATATATATATATATATATATATATATATATATATATATATATATATATATATATTATATATATATATATATATATATACATACATATATATGCAAAACGTTTATATATAATATATATATATATATATATATATATATATATATATATATATATATATATATATATATATATATATATATATATATATATATATATATATATATAATTTACATTTAAAAAATGACTTGCCCACATCTGCCAGAAACCAATGAATTACAAGAATGCTTTATAGATAGCTTGAGTAACTGTACCCAACTTACAAGTAATGGTGACACATAATACTCTATTTAAAACTTTCACACTCTTAATTTACTTTTTAGTTTGTCTCTGGATAAAACAAACTGCTTCCAATAGACTCTCTGTTTAAATATAGCAGAAAGGTTTTGTTTGTTTTCTGATCAAAGTGCAGACATGAGCATAGCTAGATTTAGTTACATCAGAGATGCTGTCTAAAGAGGAACGCCTTGTAATGTCCTATTTTTTGCACATCTGATGCTACAAAAGGTGTGTAATAGCACATTCACTTCTGTTACATTGCCAGTGTGATTAAGTAAGACCTCAAACTTGACAGCAGAAGCAGCGGATGTGAAGAGGTTGAACAGACGTAGGGAAAACAAAAGGATGGCAAGAGAAAGGCCATTTTTGGTAGAAGAGCACTGTGCAAAATCAGAGCATTGTGTAGGTGTGAATCAAAGTGCATATAAAGCTTTTTGCAAGCTCTGAAAGTGTCCAGGGAAGGAAAACCCAGAAAGCTGTTAGAGAGCGAGGTGACAAGATGAGACATAATGTGACAGCTGTCACGTGTCACCTTCTGAGGACAGATGATGTTAGAAAAAAATAGCAATACCTTCCTGATGCTGCTGTGAAATGGTCCAGAAACTGTATCATTTCTGACTTAAAAATGGTGCAAAGGCTACTTTTGTTCACATTCTTCCACCAAATGTGAACAAAAGTAGCTTAGTAGCTTGAGATGCTTACTGAATAACTGTACATACTCAAAGATCAAAATATTCACAGATGGGCTCTGTTTCCTTAGAGTTGGCTATCTTTTGCTGGTCAATATGCTGTATTTAGCATACAGCATATCTTTGAACTTATTGAAGTTCAAAAACCTTTCAATAAGACCGTGATAGAGTAACTCTAACCTTTTTATTTTTTATTCATGGTTGGATGTTTGAAACTTTGTATGAGAGAAAATTACTCCAGTTCAACAATAGCTTGGCAAAAGTTTTGCCCTCTCTCTAGTCTAGTGTAGAAAAGAAAACAATACAATTAATTTCTCCCAGAATTTGCAACATGAAATAGCCCTCATGTTTTCCAAAATCTGCCTTTGATTGGACTGATTGGTCTCTCATGACATCTCCTTATGTACTGCAGAGAGAATACCATGAGATTCTGAAAAACAGAACCAGAGAACCCAGTCAAGTCAAATCTAAGACTGATCACTATGACTCATGTGCGGTAGATATTTTTGTTGACATTGTTTACTTTGCTAGGTTTGTCATATTTTCAGGTGAAGTCTCTTCAAGAATTTTTTTCTAGCATGCCTTAGACATGCGGTCAATGTCACCTTACTATGTTTCTTGAAGGGGTGATTTCATCTGAGAATTTCTGTTTATGTTGGTGATGTCACTTTCGATTGAAGGGTCATGGAGAAAAGTTGTTCTGATAGGCGAACAGTCAAGTCAGAGGAAGGCAGGATGAGCGTTTAGGTGATTTTCACAGCCTGGCATAATTATTATTAAATACTATAAATGTTTTTGTCAATTCTTTTCTCAGTTTTTGCAATGTCTGAGCATAATTTACACAAATATCTGATGTAGTTGAGTCGTCATTTTCATACTCCCATTGGTATTTCCCATGTCTAAATTGGATTTTATTCCACACTTTGAGCAGAGAGAGAATGTGCTATGCAGTGTGTGAATGATTGGTATGCACATAGCTGCATCAGAAATAAACTTGCTAATAATGGACCAAATCTTGCTCATAAATCTCAACAGAAATATCTCGGAGAGCCTCAGTGAACAACCTCTCCTACATATTAATTCTTTAACTGTATTAAATGGACTTCACACAGCAATGCAAATTGCTGTGTGTGTGTGTAAGTATCATATACTACATATATGTTCATTGATTGATATAAATACACAATTCCTCCCATAACTTTGCAATCCCATTTATTTGAAGTGGAGTATCGGTTGTTGTAGTTGCTCAGTTGTCCATATAGCCCAACTGAGACAGAAAGACAGCTGAACACACCTGACCTTTAATATAGTCTCTGTTTCCAGTCTCAGATTGTCAGACACCAGTGCCTCACACCTTCCAGGCTGCTTCAGCTATTCATTGATTAAGATGGGGGGTTGGAGAAGCTATACATTTAAAAGGCATAGTGTCTTTGTTCCCACCTGTCCTGCGTTATTTATTATTCAAAGTCAACTTTTTGGTTCTACATAAGCATAACAAATATGCTTGCAAAATCCAATTGGTCAACACTATAAATACTTCTAGCACAATCTGGTAACCCATCTGCTGTAGTCTAATGAATATACTTCTGCAGGCAATGGTCTATATTTCTGGGCTTCCTGCTTATAGCTGGCAGATATCTGAAAACAATAATGATTTGCAGAGATGCCTTTTTTCCATAGTTGATCGCAGTGTTTTTTATTGTTTTTATAAAATACATCGTTATTCAGTGAAAACCATTGATTGCAAGGATTCTAATTTAGTCAAATTTAAGAGCATATTTAGATTGCTGTTTTTGTGACTGGACAAAAATAACTGCATTTTTTGTAGTTATTGAAGTTGAAACAAACAATGTTACATTGTCCCTCATCTGGATTTGTTTGTGCTTGTTTTATGGAGGGCTAGAGATATGGGATCAGAAATAAAAGGAGTATGTAGAATCAAGACGTGTGAGCTATAAGTAAAAATTTTAACATAAGAAATAACTTGCAAAGAGGTTTCAGCAGGTATGTTCAAGCATTTTTCAAAGTAACTGTCAATCTTTAAATAGCCTCTTTGGGAAATACCTGGATATGTGAACGTCTGAAGTCTGTAATTTCCCACATCCTTTATCATTCAGTCATATAGCTTGTAAAAACTCTAAAATGATGCGAAAGAGGGTCTTGCACCACTTTTCACAGGTAAGTAAAACTACTCCTATGAAAACAATTATGATTTATATTGTAAAATTTTCCAAAAATCATCTTGTAATTTGGTGCACAAATATACAGCCCGTTTCAAGTTCTACTCTACAAGTTGTATATTTTTAAGACAGGAATTTCATTTTATAAATGTCTATATAGTCAGAATCAGAGGTGGGGCTTGGATCACAATAAAACATGGTAGATATGATGGGATATGTAGAGGGCATAGACTGGTTGAATTAATAAAAAAATGTCAAAGGCGCAATTTTGCCTCAGTGGTGTTATTTAAAACAGATGCTAACTAACCTTTTAGCTTAGTTCACTAGCAATTGAATCTAACATATTTAGTCACGTCTTCAATGTTCTGTAGACTTCTCTACTTGACTGAGAAACCATTAAGCACAGCAGCATTAATTGTATTCTGAGGACAATACCGTTGCCTGCTTCAGTTGATCTCATCTGGGAACACGGCACAAGCCATTGTGAACAATCGCCACTATGACTCCAGTTTTACTCAGACAATTACTGACAAGTCGTGCCA